TCTGTATTTCGAGGACTTCCTACTATGTGTCACATTCTGTCCTTCTTGTAGAAACATGTTTTCACTTTGACATGAAAGAGGTTTTTTTTTTAAATTCTTGTCAAAAAAGCCAAATTAAATCGACCATGATTCAACGCTGACGAGCAATAAAAGAGGAGAAACTTCCAAAGAGGGCGACTACTTCTTATAGATTCAGGGTCACAAAACACTCGTCTGAAGTGTCTGAAAACCAACAAAGTCCTACAGACGGCACCTAATATTCAGCTTATTGTCACTGTGGTGCCAAATCAGAAACTATTTCTGTGTGGATCTCAGGTTCTTCCTGCTCAGAATGTTGGTTTTATGGAGACTCACCCACAAACAGGATCAGTCTGGGACAAAAAACCTGCTTTTTCCTGTCACTTCATTTTATGAAAAGTCTTTAAGGTTGAGAAAATACTAAAGTAAAACAAAACAAAAGCTCTTTTGTGCAGGAAAAACCCTCGATCTGAGTCTCAACATCTGTCTGCAGTTTAGTTTTTGTTTAGATTCTCATGGCGTTTAAGAACAATCCTGCCTTTCAGCCCGTCCCACCAAACCAAACAGCCTCCTTCACCGCCGGACGTTGACAGCAGCAGATTTTATCGGACGTTTGAGGTTTAGTTCAGGATTTGAGTGGCTACGAGGATACTGCGTGGGCTTCGCTTACAATAAAAAAATGTTTTAAAAATCAGTTTCTGGGTTGAAATGCAGAAGCTGCAATCAGAGAATTCAGACTGTTTTCTTAAATTAAATAATTACTCAGCATTAGTTCGTCTGAGCCCAAAGAGTTGATGTTGCTGGTGTCTGTTTGCAGAAAGAAAAGCTGTTTATTTATTAAATATACACATCAAAATAAAATACTGAAGTGTCAGAACTGAGCTCGCGACTCTGATCTGATAAGAACGGACTCATTTTCTCCGAACACATGAAGCTTTCAGACGGCTGCAGCTAAAAATTAACGAAGCTCTTAGTCTGTGTGTTTACACGCGTCATCCGATCAGCGCGCTCCAGCTCATTAACGGCAAATTACGTTGTCCTCGTTTCACCACAGAAATATTTGCCCAAAGAATGTTTCTCTGCTGAATGTTTTCCTCCCTTTACAGATAATTTACTTCCCAGCTACATAGTAAAGTCCAAACGCTCTTTAGCAGATGTGGACACTTGGAAAAATGCTGCGCGAGCTAAAGTGATTAATCACTGAAATGTGAATCATTTCTGTGACGCTAACAGACTCTTCTGAGTCTCGCTGCTTCTGGTCACGTTCATCGTTACGGTGAAGCTGTCACTTGATACCGCCGTGAAAAACAAGTCAACAGTGGAGAAAAACGTGCAACAAACAAAAAGCACAGAAGCTGCTTGGACCTCTGACGGTTTAAAACCGGTTTCTGAGAGTTGGTTGTGACGGGCTGAAACCAGGAGCTGCTACTTTCACACAAACACAGATTAAAGCGCTGCGAATCGGAGCCGGTCTGCTCTCGATAGTCACTATCTGAGGAAGCAGCTGCAGGTTTGTGAATGTTGCGTCATTATAAGGATGCTGAGAGTTCTGATGCTAAACAAGAAGAAACCAGTGAAACACCTGAAGGCTAAAACGCCGTCTGAACAGTCTCACCTTTCTCCAGGATGTCCTCGGCTCCTTCCTCCCACTGCTCGTCCTCATCCTCATACTCGTCGTCCACATCTGGGCGGGCAAACACAAGAACGTTAAAGCTCCTCCGGTCTTTCAACAAGTAAAGAAAGAAAACAGACAAAGCGTCGCCTGTTCGCACCGGCTTCGTCCAGGATGAATCCTCCATGTCTCGGCTTCTTCCTCGGACGGTCATCGTCATCCTCCTCCTCCTCTTCGTCATACTCCTCCTCGTCCTCCAGGTCCTCGCCCTCCTCCTCCGCTACCTTATCACTGCCCACAGGGCTGGCAGCTTCCTCCTGGTGACAGACAAACACACAATATTCACTCATTCATTTATTCCAGCTGTAGATTCAGGGATGAAGGCCTCGTTTACGGTGCAACCGAATGAGAGAGAGAAAGATATAAACAGGAAACTTTGGTAGGAATTAAAATATCTAAAGGCAAAGTTGGTAAAAAAAAACCCAGAGCATTTAAATTTGAAAATGAACTAAAACCAAAGCAGCTGACACGTAGAACAGGAGGGAATCTGATTGGCCCTGAGGATAAAGGTGAGTCAGGCTTTAGATCTGTTCTGCAGTCAAACTGGAATTTCCAAGTTCAGCAACAACAACCGGCAGCTCCCACAGAATTCAGTTATTTGAGTGCGTTCGGTAAGATCACACATCACGTCAAAAGAAACAACAGAACTGAGATACTTGATCAACATCACCTCTTCTATGTGTCTCATAAATAAGTCTCATCACTGGATTCAGATTCAGAGAAAATAAAAACTAAAAATTCTTCCTGATGCACCCATGAAGGATTCAGTGATCCAGATGTGAGCGACAGTCTGAGACTATTGGGCT